GTCGAGTTTGAATAGTGCCATACAAGATTTTTTGTATGTGAGGAAATATTTGTTGGGCTTGACACAAATTATATATCGCTAATGAAGCTGAAAACATGTTTTAATGTATATAACCCGACATGCTTATGTGTACGGTCATGTTGAAATTGGCTAAAATTAAACAATCTCCATGAATAAAGATGCATCTCATGAGATTTGACTCGACTCCAAGTATACATGGTTGTAAAGCTTTATCAATACATTCAAAAATATAATTATAATAGAGACTCATTAAAGACTCAAAAGTGTAAATATAAAAAAATATATATATATATAATTTTTCAAATTCTTTATAAACATTTTTTTTTCATTTTGGTAACCGATATGGCACGTGTTTCCCCCATGCCTGATGCATAAATGTTATGAGTTGTGTAAAACAATATATGTTGTGAGGAAGTGAAAAAAAAATGTTTTTGTGTGAAGAAAAGTAAAAAGGATATGGTCTTTACTTTTATTCTTGTGGAAATTTTGAAATTTGTATACTCGTTTTTAGTGTTAATCATATCAAATTACTCGTTGGAGATTAATAGATTCTTATACTCTATTAAAATTTAGGGTTCCAATTTAAAAGATGAATATTATTAAGAGGAGTATTTCTAACATTTATATATTAATTTATATTTCAATAATTAACTAATATGAGATTTATCCCTTAACAATGACATTTCAATCATAAGGTGAGGAAGACGCCCAGACATATGAGCTTGAGGCGACGCCATTAAACCATCATTCCATAGCCCTCTTCTTTGAAAGTTCGACTCATATCTAGAAATTCCCTACAAGGCAGGAAAAACTTAGTTCGCCCAACAAAGTTTAGGACCATAGCTTCGAATTACAAATAAATGAGCTGTTTACAACGTGGAATTTATTGGTAATACAAATTATCCATATCCTATTTTGGCCCTGTCAACTTGAATGAACGGTTAGGATTCAGTTGGTCCAACATTCCATTTTGTTCCCAATCACATCTATAGAATTCTCAAATTCTTATTTATATAAAATATCTCGTCCACATAATTGTAGGATAAATAGTACAATAAGAAGTTATCTTAAATAAAATATCCCACATTTGGTAATCATTCATTCAAAACTCTTTTTTCTCATACTCATTTTCAATCAAGCATTCTTAAAATAAAATATTATTCACGTAAATCCAAAAAAAATTTCCTACTTTTCAACCGCACGTTCTCCAAAATTACTAATCAAAATTTCATTCTCTCAAATATGAAGCCGTCATTCTTCAAATTCAAAAAATTGATCAGGAAAATTTAAAATCAAGAGGTACTATATAAATTTATAATTTCCATGCTATTTTTTAAAATCTTATATATCTACCTGTTCGTCTACCTATGTGCACCTTCGCCTGAATAATGCAAAGACTTCCAAAGTTTTTTGTACAATTATAAAAAATATATCATTTGGAAAGATTTTATAAACGATTTAATTTAGAAGTACATAGAAATGAGTCATGGATAAATGAAGCACGGAATATGCTACTTATACATGTGCTATATCCTCCTAATTCTGGTACAAAGCATATGGGATTGTCAACATGGTTTGTAACATATAATATGAGAAAAATAAAAAAGAAAGGTTAAGGTGGGAACAAATTCATATGGGGGCACCGAATGTGATAGTCCTAAATGTCAACATATATGGATAAGGTGAAGTACCATTTATGGCTAGTGTACCCCTCTCGCATTTGTTGTTTTCACTAAAAGATGCACACTAAAAGGAGGCGGAGGGCTTGGTGGTGGAGGTGGTGAAGGTGGAGGGTTAGGTGGAGGTGTTGGTGCTGCTGCAAGCGATGGACTTGTGGAGGTGGTGGAAGAGAGTTTGGTGGTGGTGGTGGTGGTGGAGGTGGTGGTGGTGGATGAGGGGGGTACGGGGTGGTTCTGGTTTTGGAGGAGGAGCTAGTGGTGGTTTTGGAGGTGGCGCTAAAGGAAATGATGGCGACGGAGACAGGGGAGGTGGAGGTGGATTGGGTGGTGGATTTGGTGGAATAGGAGGTGGTGGATTTCTTTGAGACTTCAGTCTCATTCCAATCTATTCATAAACTACTATATGTCTCATGGCTCAATAAAATAAAATGACTAGTCATTGAACTATGTATGTTTAATTTGTATCAAAAAAAAAAAAATTATTCAAATAAATTAATGTAAGCTTTACATTATTATTGAAACTCTTTCCCTTCTCGTGCTTTATTTCTTCCATGCAAATCTACAAATAAAAATGTTGCACTATAACATATTTTGATCCATTTAAGTGCTATTATTGTCAATTTCTATTTTGAAAATTTCAATGGGCTGGAATAAACTGCATTGAACCTTTGGAAAAATTTATGGATCGGGTATTATCTATCATGAAAGGGGTGTTTGTTTTTTATTTGAGAATAATCAATTCTCATTTTCAACCACACATTTTTCAATAAAATAATATTTTTGATCACATCAATAATTTTTTCTTTTTTTTCAACCACACATTTCCCATCATATCACTATTCAAAAATCAATTATTCTCTCAAAAATCCCTACCAAACAAGCACTAAAAATCATGCCCCAAATTTAAAATTGCAAAAATTAGGTTTTCCATGAATTAATTAATTATATTTCACAATTATTATATTAAATTAAATATTAAACTGTAATATAATATAATTAACCCACCACACCCCACCCCACACCACACCACACCACACCATCCCACCCCATCTCCACCTCCCCAACTGCTCCGGCGACCACCCAGATGACTGTTCTCCGGTCGAGCTTAATTTCGGCAACTATTCCCATGAACGTTCCATCGCCGCTCAAATTCGATAACTGCTCCGATTCCGATGTCACAAATATCTTATTAAGTAGTTAAAAATATATAATTTTAGGTCACAACTTATCAAATTAATTGGTTACAAATTATTTTAAAGTCACAAATCCAAAAATTTATAGGTCACAATTGACTCATTGGTCAATGATCAAAAAAAATTATAGATCACAAATTTTTAATCAGTCAAAAGTTAAAAAAATTATAGGTCACAGAGATCACATATTTTCAAATTTGTTGGTCATAGATTAACGAATTTTAAGGTCACGGACCACATAGTTGGTCACATACACCGAATCACCCGTCCCCCAATCCCAGTACATCACCAATACTTGGTTACAGATCGACTATATAGTTGGTCACAGACACTTTTCATCCCATTTGCCCGCCGCCGCTACCTCCACCCCCACAACCACCCACCACCAAAACCACCACCGTCGCTGCCTACACAGCACCACCATCATCGTCGTCCCATCACAACACCACCACAACCACCACCATAATAATAAATCATTGGTCACAGACACACCCAATCTCATCTCATCCCGCTACAACCACCCCACTGCCACGCACACAACAAAAATCACAATCACCACCAAATCCAAACAAAACCACCACCTCAAATCCCCAAATCCGTCGGCACAATTACAACCCAACTATTCTGAGACATTTTTTGCACTGCCAAACCTCACCACATACCCACCGCCGAGCCACATCTACCTGCAACAGCTCGATCGCGACGCTGCTGCCTAGGTCGCAGCAACGTCACTGGCAGCAGCGTTGCGAGTCGGAAGCAACATCGACGCTGCCGTTCGCTGCCAATCATAGGGGGAGGGAGGAGAAGAAGCGGAAGAGAGAGGAGTAGAAGAAAAAATATTAGGGTTTAGGAAATGAGATTGAAATTTGGTGGGGTAGGTGGTATGGTGGATATATAGATTAATTTAATTTAAATTATTGTTATTATTATTAATTGTGAAATTAAAACCTGATCTTTAATTAAATAAAGTATAAACCTGATTTTTAGAAATTTAAAACTAAACAACTAGTTTTATGTAATTTTCCCTTGAATCTTTTGGTCAACCACCCATTTACAATTTTGGGGAATTGACGACAATAGCACTAAATGCCATTCAAATTTGAGAGTTGATATGTATATATATATTTTTTTATTTATAAAAAACTAGTAGTCTCAATCAAATCAAAATTAAAGTTAAACGTGGACCTAAAGCACCTATACTTGACGGGCTAGATTCAGTATTGAACTAATCTGTACTAATAACAACTAGCCCATGTTTGTTGTAGATTAAAATTGAATTTTTAGTAAATTTTGATAAAAGTTGATAGAAAGTGTGGTTGAAAAATTGTAGGTCCTATGAAATGTGTGGTCAAATCAATTTTTTTTTTTTTTTTGGAAGAATCTGACAATAGCTTGATTGTGAATTAACCACATTTAATCACTATTAAACTTTTTTTACACTATTTAGAGCCTGTTTGGAGATTTTTTATCCTTATAAATTTTTAACTACATATTCTAAAAAAAATCTTGAAAATTGCCTCTAAACTAATGCTTAATACTTCCAATCTAACTTTTGGTACTTGAATTTTCCTTAGCCTTTAATATTTTCTTAGGTTTGCAAGTTAAAATCATCAAATCAAAGAATCAAACTGAAACTATGGTTTTGAAAAAGTCAATTTCATACCACCTAGAGCCTTCGACAAAACAGTTTTGAACCAGACAAAATCTTTCTAAAACAATTTGATTGAGGTTCCAATACTTTAAATATGATTTGAAACTAAATTGGACCATTTAAGAATGTTTTTTTTTTTTTTACCAGAAATTGGTTTAATTTGGACAAAGGTCGCAATGATAAATTACCTTCCTACCCTCCAAAATAAGATGTAACTGTTAAAATTTTAATCTAAATATGGTACTTAATAATTCAATTAATACATATGTTCAGTGCCCTTCGGACCTTGCAACGTACCAATGGGAAAATCATAAGCCGAGTCAGTTAATTTTTGGTTTATTCTACTATAATACTCAACTTTTTTTCTCCTCTCTATGAGGAGCTCTTTCTCTCTTGTCTTTTGACAAGCTTAACTTTTTCTCTATCTTTATAATCTCTGAAACCACTCTGCTGGACATGGCTCTTGAGGACATCTATGCAAAAATCTCATTGGAGGATGAGGAACAAGGCGTGGAACTGCAAGGAGATGATGCGATACAGGAAAATGAGGAGTATCGTTACTGTCTGGTGGGGAGATTCCTTACAGACCGTATTATCCACTTTGTTTCCATGCGAAACACAATGGCAGCCATTTGGAGGCCGAAGAAAGGGATATGCATCAAGGATATAGGGGCTGGACTTTACATATTCCAATTCTTCCATGCATTAGATATGGATCGTGTTCTACAGGATGGCCCATGGACATTCAATCAACACCTTCTTATCCTAAAACATCTTAAGGATGATGCAAACCCTATGAGGGTAGACCTATTTGAGACAAGCTTCTGGGTGCAAGTCAATGAAGTGCCAGCCGGCTTCCGATCAGAACGTATTCTAATACATATTGGCAACTATATTGGAGCTTTCCTCTCGTCTGATTCTAACAACTTCTCAGGAGGGTGGAAGGCATTTTTACGCATCAGGGTTCTCATGGACGTGCGCCTCCCGTTGAAAAGGAGAATGAAGCTAAGAAAACCAGGGGGCGAGTGGATTTGGGTCACCTTCAAATACGAAAAGCTGCCTACCTTCTGTTTTATTTGTGGCATAATTGGCCATGCGGATTCATCATGTGAAAAATTTTACGAAGCACAAGGTGGGGAAATCGAAAGACCATATGGCCTCTTTCTCAAGGCTCCATCCCGGAATGTACCTGCTTCAGTTGGCGAGAAGTGGCTCCGTAGCTCGCCGGCGGAGGACTCAGGTTCCAAATATGGGAAGGACGTAACTGACGCTGTGGATGAGGAAGTTTCCTTGCAAGAAGGAGAGAATCTTTCACTAGCTATAAAAGGAAAAGGCGTGATCCGCGAATCTGCTTCAATCAATCCAATTCCTGAAAAGATGCCACCTTCAATGCCTCAGTTAAAGGAAAATCCTTTATTCAACAACGCACAGGCTGGATATTTACAAGGAATGGACAATGCTGTCAACTTGGGCCTTGTTATTATGGACCAGAAAAGACGCCGAACAGACCCACATACGGAAGTGAACCTCAACAATCCAGCCTATGAACCAGACTTAATGCAAGAGGACCCAAAAAACGAAGTGGCGGTGGGCTCTGCTCAGCAGGCCCACCGATCAACATGAGTATCCTTAGTTGGAACTGCCGTGGACTGGGCAATCCACGGGCAGTTCAGGTCCTTGTCGACCTAGTTACTTCTAATAAGCCTGATTTTATTTTTTTGATCGAAACTTTGGTGTGTAAGCAAAAAATGCTATTAATAAAACATAAATTGAATTATGATTGTTGCATTGTGGTAGATTGTGTAGGACATAGTGGAGGGTTAGCCCTTCTATGGAAGGAACAAAACAAGGCCTCCCTGATTAGCCTGTCCCGGTTTCATATTGATGTGGAAGTGACAATGTATGATCAACCGAAATGGCGTCTCACGGGTTATTATGGGATTCCTGATAGAAGCAAGCGTCGAGAGAGCTGGGACCACTTAAGACTCCTCGCATCATCTTCTACCTTGCCATGGGTTGTTCTCGGTGATTTTAACGATCTTCTTTTCCAACATGAAAAAATGGGCCAACACCAACACCCCCCGAGGCTTCTCAATGGATTTAAGGAAGCAATTGAAGATTGTCAAATATCAGATTTAGGAATGGATGGCTATCAATTTACTTGGTGCAAAAGTAGGGGCTCGACGGGATGGATTGAGGAGAGACTCGACCGGGCCTTTGCATCTTCGAACTGGACTGAAAATTTCCCAGGCGCTAGAGTCAAAAACCTGGGGTTTTTTTCATCTGACCATGCACCTATATTTTTGCAACCGGTAGCTGTAATTCCCAGACAGACTAAGAGGAGATTCCGTTTCGAAAATATATGGCTTCATGAAGACGATTGCAAGAAAGTAATATGCTCTAGCTGGGACAAATCAGTTGGGGAACCTCTTTTAAACCGCATTAAAGGATGCGGTGAAGATTTGCTACGATGGGGAGGCTCCGGCTTACGCAAATTAAATGTCAAGGTACGTCATTGTAGAGCCCTTATTAGGCGTCTCCAAGACAGAACAGATTTAGATGGTCTTCAACAGTTTCGGCAGGCCCAATCAGACTACTTTAAAGCTTTACACCAAAAAGAAATTTACTGGAAACAGAGATCTCGAAGGCTTTGGCTAAAAGAGGGCGACTCAAACATAAAGTACTTCCATAAAGCAGCTTCATTACGTCAGAAAACAAACCATATTCAACGATTAAAGGACAGAGATGGAAACTGGACCTCGGACCCGTCGACTTTGCATGGCATTATTTCTGATTATTTTCATGACTTATTCAAATCCTCACTCCAGGATGATGAACCAGGCTCGGCTACTTTAGGTACGTCACCTTGCCTCTCGGATTCTCACAGGGATTTACTTACAGCTCCATTTACTGCTCCAGAAATCCGTCAAGCTGCCTTTAATATGCATCCCGACAAGGCCCCGGGGCCGGATGGCATGAATCCGGCATTTTATCAAAATTTTTGGGATGTAGTGGGCGATGACGTTACCTCATTGTGTCTACTTTCTCTAAATACTTGCAAGTTTCCAGCGGGAGTTAATGATACTTCCATTGTTCTTATACCGAAGAAAGGCAACCCGGAAACTGTACAAGATTTTAGGCCTATTTCACTATGTAACGTTGTGTACAAAATAGTGGCCAAAACCCTTGCAAATCGCCTCAAAAATATCCTACCGGGCATTATCTCACAAACGCAATGTGCGTTCATCCCCGGTCGTTCCATCACTGATAATGTAATGCTAGCTTTTGAGGCACTTCACTGCATGAAAAAGAAACAAAGAGGCAAACATGGCCTGGCTGCACTTAAGATCAATATAAGCAAGGCTTACGACCGCCTTGAATGGAAGTTCCTGAAGCATGCAATGATCCGTATGGGGTTCCCTCAAAGATGGGTCGACTTAGTTCTCTTGTGTGTCTCCACGGTTAAGTATCATGTAATACATGGGGGAACGGAAATTGGGCCCATCGTCCCTGAGCGTGGTCTACGTCAAGGTTGCCCTTTATCGCCTTATTTATTCATCATCTGTTCGGAAAGTTTGTCCACACTTATTCAATCTAAGGAAGCTACAGGGGCTATACACGGTTGTCGAATTGCAAGGAATGCTCCCTCTCTTACCCATCTTTTCTTTGCGGATGATAGTATATTATTCTTTCGAGCCAACCTGAAGGAGTGCGATGAGGTTAAAGAATTGCTGAAAACATATGAAAAAGAATCTGGCCAATCTATAAATTACCATAAATCCAGTATCTATTTCAGTCGAAATGTTGATCCAGCTCGCCAAGTTGACATTAGATCGGCTATGGGCATACAAGCTTTCCACGGGCATGAGAGATACCTTGGCTTACCATCTTTAATCGGACGGAATAAGAAAGAGGTCTTTGCTTTTATCAAAGACCGTGTGTGGCAAAGAGTAGAAGGATGGAAAGAGAAGACTTTATCCAGAGCGGGTAAAGAAATTTTACTTAAAACCGTTGCTCAAGCTGTTCCCAACTATGTTATGAGTGTATTCTTGATTCCGACGCAGCTGTGTGATGAGATTGAAAAAATCATGAATAAGTTCTGGTGGAAATCGCACCAGGGGAACAAAAGGGGAATTAACTGGACTTCTTGGGATAAATTATGTCTTCCAAAATCCAAAGGGGGTATGGGTTTTCGGAGGCTACACGAGACGAACATTTCTCTGCTTGGCAAACTTGGCTGGAAACTCATTACCCAACCTTCGTCCTTGGTTGCTCAGGTCTTTAAAGCTCGATATTTCCCATCTTCTACCTTCTTGGAGGCTAAACCTGGACATCACCCTAGTTATGTATGGAGAAGTTTATTGGCTGCCCAGTCTCTTTTGCAAGATGGATGCAGATACCGTGTAGAAAGTGGCACTTCTGCCAGAATTTGGCGTGACCCCTGGCTGCCTAACCCGAATCATGGCTTCGTGACATCTGATCCACTCCCAGGTCATGAGGAAGCAACTGTTAATCAATTGTTTGTACCAGGTGAAAACAGATGGGACTATGATATACTTGTTGATCTCTTCAGTGAAGAAGAACGAGGACAAATATTGAAGATCCCCTTGAGCTCCTATGGAAGATCCGATCGAATCTATTGGGTCCATGATAATAAGGGATTTTATTCGGTTCGAAGTGGATATAAGAGGCTGATGCAAGAATTCTTCCAGGAGTACCCAAATACGATGGATAGTTTTTGGCGCACTATATGGAATCTCAAAATACCAGCAAAAGTACGCAACTTTCTCTGGCGAGCATCACAACTAGTACTTCCTACAGCAGACCACTTAAGGGCCAAGAGAGTGGACATTGATAAACTCTGCCCAGTATGTTTGNTTTTTTTTTTTTACCAGAAATTGGTTTAATTTGGACAAAGGTCGCAATGATAAATTACCTTCCTACCCTCCAAAATAAGATGTAACTGTTAAAATTTTAATCTAAATATGGTACTTAATAATTCAATTAATGTATCATAGTTCATAGCTCAGACATCAAACCCTCTTGACACCGCAAACTTTGAAAGCCAAAAAGCTATCAAGAACCATCACTTTTATCGTGGTCTTGTTGCTGTCTAGATTTATTGTTTGATGTATATAATTTGTTTTATTTCATCACCAATAAAGTCGTTAGGTTTAACCATTTAAGTTTGAGAGATCTCAAGTTGTTTTAAATGTTTTTGATTATGTTTGAGTTTTTCTTAAATCATTTTAACGATGAGATTTTAAAATATGCCAAAAATCGTTCCAACCAAACCTTTGACACCCTTAAATTCTCTTGTTCATTAAGAGCATCTCCAATCTTAGTGTAAAATGTATCTAAATTGTGATTTAGATTTTCAAAGTGATTGAAAATCTCTCTAACGAAGATGCAAAGAAAATGGAAATTGCATTTTTCGATCACAAATGTAAAAAAGGTGTTCACAAAAGGCAAAAAGTGAATTTAAATATTTTCATTGTAGCAAAACTTAAATTTAGATCCATTGGAATACAAATGATGATGCAAAGGTGATTTTAGAAAATACCAATTTATGCTCAATTGTACATTACCATTGGGGATGTTCTAAACAAACCGAGAACTTGTTTGGTAGGGAATTTTGGGGGAAGAATTGATTTTTGAATAGTGATATGATGAGAAATGTGTGGTTGAAAAAGTAGAAAAAATTATTGATGTGATGGAAAATATTATTTTATTGAAGAATATGTGGTTGAAAATGAGAATCGATTCTCAAATCAAAAACAAACACCCCCCGATTAAAACTTTAAAGTGGCTATAAAATATGAATAATGTTATCATCATTAGTTTCATAAAGATTAGAAAGGGTTAAGCTTTTGTGTGAAGCTTATTTTTTTAGAAGTGATTTTATGAAAAACAAATTGTTTAATGAATATTTGGTAAAATAAAAATAACTATATTAATTTTTGAAAATGATATTTCGTGAAGAATGTTTAGTTGAAAATGAGTATGAAAAAAAATGTAATTTTGAAAAATAATTTTCAAACAAGGACCAAGTTAATACGAGTTTCTACATTGTTCAATAGATTTTATTATTTGTATACCGGAACGTCAACCCAAGTCCCCCCTTATTCTGAACCGGTGTCAATCTCGGTGTATGCATAGCAAAACCCTCAACCAATAAATTTGTGACGTATCTTATTGCAATATTGATTCCTATTGAAATTAAAATTCATTTTTCTCTATTATTATCAAATACACATTTTTAATAAAATAATATTACATATAATTCCAAAAAAAATTCGTTTTTAACCAAATATTTTTCAAAAAAAAATTCTATTACAACAATTAAAATTTAAAATAATTGGGGCCAAACGGGGCTTAGAATGCTTTTCCTTTGCATTTATACTACTTGTACAAATGTAGCTTACAAAAGTGTGTTGACAAAACGATGTGACAAGATTTAGGTTATTGATTTCAAAAATTATTTTTTAAATCATTGGCAAATATACCGTAAACAGTAAACGAATTTTGAAACCTGACTTTAGATAACATTGTACAAGTATCAACCGCGTCTCCTGGATTCTCCCCAATTCACGTCCCCAAATTTCAGCTGGTTTCAACCCTAATTGAAAAAATTTCGGAGAAAAAAAAATGTTTCAGCCTCTGTTTTGTCTGGTATTCACAGAAATGTTTGTGATTCTGCTGCTTCTGTTTAGAACGCCTTTGCGGAAGCCACTTCTCCTTTTGATGGACAGGGCGAAGCGCGGCCGAGGCCCGGTGGTGGCCTCCACCGCCGGAGGGACTCTCTTTGTCATTCTGGTGTCCATTTTGTGTAGTATAATCAACACTCAGAAACGATCAACGGATGGGATCCCTCTTAATCCCACGGATGAGCTTATGTTGGCCTACCATCTTCTTGAAGCTTCACTTTTAGGTAAACAAAAATTTTGCATACTTTTTCCAAAACGGGAAACTCGATAAAGAAATAAAGAAATTGATCAATTGGGATTTTCTGGATTGATTATTGATTAAAAAATTACATACAGGTAAGTTTAAGTGCACAAGGAAATTTAGAGTAAATAGTCTATTTGCTAATCAAACTTACACTTTCAGAAGTAATTTTTGTTGCTTATAAGTAAAAAAAATTAATATATCCATGTCTGCAAGTACTAGTTGCTATTTGCTAAACACGATCAAAGCTTTGAAAATAATCAGATAAATTATGTTCTGAATTGATATCCTGTATAAAAAAGAGAAAGAATTTGAGGAATTGGGATTCTATGAATTGCAGGTGTTTCCCTATTTCTGGGATTGATGATTGACAGGCTTCATTATTACATAAAAGAACTTCGTTTACTGAGGAAGCATGTAGAAGCAGTAAAGAAGTTCGATCAGAGGACTGATGGAGCGAAAAACAAGGGAAAGTTAAAGACAAAAGTTGCAGATGTAGAGGAAGAGGAAGAGCATTGATATTCAAGACCAATGCTAGGTAAAATAAAATAAATGTTTTTGTTAAGGAAAACAAATACGATGAAGATTTACTGATATTGCAGAGCTTTTTCTTGATAATAATTGTGGTTCATTCAATTTTGTACCGACTGACAGGAATAGGGCTGTCATATGATTGCATCCTTTGCGATTTCTACCCCAGTTGGCTTTGGCTGGGTTGGTTGTAACCTCAGTTTTCTTTCATGTGGGTTGATATAATACAATGAGTTTCATCTTGGATTCAAGAAGAAAAGAAGAAATATGTATACGAATAAGTAGGGTAACTTTCTAGTTTTCAATTAAGTTTTAAGAATGTTAAAAAATTAAGTAATAAAACTTGTTCATGAAGTTAGTATGTTGATGGTTGGAGAGAGAATTAAGATGATCTATTGTATTCAAGTTGATGGAAATGAGCTATTATTCAAAAATAGGCTAAAATTACATTGGGCTTCTGGGTTGATCTAGACAAGAAATTTACATTGGGCTTCTGGGTTGATCTAGACAAGAAGTGTGTTTGTTAGGCTTGAATGAACTAGCCACAATACTGGCTGGAAATAGTTTGGGCTTGGAGATGATATATTGGGATGCATTAAACGGCCTTTTTCGGAGGGGGTGGGAGCGGCCGCAAGCACTCCAAAGGTCAAGTCAGTTCTATATTCAACCGGTAAGGGCTTCGCCGGCGGTAGGACACTAGCCGTGAAGATGGTCGATATGGTGTCGATAAAAGTGGCAAGTATATAAGGGAAATGATGGTACTTGGTTTCGCAGTATGTAGGAGAGCAAATNTGACCGTTTGAGTCCTGCCACGCATCTCATTAGTCAGTGATTTAACTGGGAGGATTTTTGTACAAGAGAGCTTTGATGAGGCGAGGCAGGTGAGGCGTTGCAGCGTTCTAGACGCGGAGTACGGGCCTTTGCATCCACAATGTGTTGGCGGATGAGTCTGGTACGTTCGCTGGCGCCTGTTCAGTTCGTTCCTTACGTAATCACTTCGATATATACAGCCAGCTCGTCGCATGAGGTAATCACCTCAGCGCCAAGTGTCGGGCGTGTGGGCCATCTTTACTGAGACGTGGTGTCGAGGTGGAGGGTCTGACACAGCTCCGTAACAATAGTCCCGCAAGTCCATGTATGAATATTTATATAGTACGAGGACTTTAACTTCAATTGCTGAGTTGGGAGGCATTGGGATGAGCGTTTGAGCGTCAATCGATGAACATTTGTGGCGTCAGATGCCAATGCAAGGTGTCCGTGGAGCATCTTAAACGATGGAGGTTGGAAAGCATGAGAAGAGCTGCCCCGACGCGAGGCTGTATTGGCCGAGGCGATATAGGTTGGCAACTCTGTGGAGAGTTGTTGCAACGCTAAGCTGTACTGGCCGAGACGATATAGGTTGGCAACTCTGCGGAGAACTGTTGCAACGCTAAGCTGTACTGGCAAAGGCGATATACGTTGGCAGCTCTGTGGAAAGCTCTTGCAACGCTAAACATATGCGATTGAAGGCTCTAAAGGGACAACATTGCTCTGTGTCAATGATTTGAAGGCTTTCGCATCTTCCCAAGGCAATCATAAGGGGGCATTCGCTTGCTTCCAAAGCACGCCTCTCTTGCCATAAAGGGTAATGATGGCGACAATTCTCGTTCCTCAAGGCGACGCGTTTGGGTCGCGCGTGAGTTCACAGCTCCATCAGGACCGTTGGTTCAAATGATTTTTGGCTTCAACGAAGATCCTTGCATCTCAACATTGCATGGCCCAGATATGATTTGGAAGATCCAACGGCTGGGATGAGTCTGATACACCTATAAAAGGCTCATTCCTTTCATTTTGAAAAATTTACTTTTGCGAAAATCTCCCAAAGAATCCTTGCATTGTGTTCGTGGTTCCTTCTCCGGCAACCAACTAGAATTCCGGCAATTGACCTTGTGAACTCCGACGGCTATTGAACTAGGTAACAAAACTCGATTCAGTTTCTTCTGTCTTTTTTCTCTCTAGATTCGACCAAAAATTTTTTTGTATGGCGAGTGAACAATCTGTGAGTGCCTGGGGGAGCGAGGAAATGAGAGGTGAGTGAGGTCCTGAGCTGATGGAGCTAGTATTAGTGTCGCTGAACAAACTAAGTAGGGCCATTAGGGCCAGGCAAAATATTTGGAAACACCCAGCCTCTCCCATAGACACCTCGGTCCAATGGGGGGCTTCGAATTATCCTTCCAGCATTACTAGGGAGGTATTAGAAAGATGTAAGGTCGTCTTTAGGATCCCTGAGAATATAGAGCTGATAGTGCCCGAGCCCCATGAGAAAGCGTGGTATCCGAGGCTAGGTCTGTGGCTGTGAGCGAGAATCTGATTAAGGCTGGGCTCAGACTTCCTTTCCACCCCTTTTTTAAGTTAGTGCTTCGATCTTATGGGTTGGCCTCGACCCAGTTGAACCCGAATGCGTGGTCCCACATGGTGGGCACGTGGATGTTATGGCGTCGGGTCATCCTCGGGGTGGACATGCCATTCAGCATGTTCCATTCCCTTTTCTTGCCGAAGTGCGTGGCGGGGGGAAAGGAGAGCAAGGGCTAGCACTATTTGGCACCCTGGGGGTCGCACTCCCCATTCATGATCGGGTTGCCCACTTCGGTGAAGGGTTGGAGGAACTCCTGATTTTGGGTAGTCGGGAGGTGGGATACTATGGAGGGCGACCCCATGGCGCCTCTTACTATCCCCACTTCATACTCATCTTACAGTAAGCTTCTTTCCCGAGTTGATTTCACTTGTCCATTTTGCTCATGTTTTTAATATACCTCGCTTGAAGGCTCTTTGCCGAGGTGTGTGATATCCGAGGAACAATGGGATATCATCAGCCAACTCTACCAGCTTACTCCAAAGGAACGAAGTTAAAAAGAAATCATCGACAAGAACACCCACTTCGTCGCCCACGGATTGATGTCGAACCAAGGTAAACGCATCGCTTCAGTTCTTCCCATGTTTCTGCTTTAACTTCGATTGCTTATCCTTTTGTCTTGCTTGCAGGAGATTTTGCAAATAAGAAGGCGACGAGGCCTAATTTTGTAACAATCCGCCGAAGTGTGGCGGAGGCGAAAATGTTGAAGACAAGCTCGGCTGCATATAAGAAGCAATCGGAGAGCTTACTGTCCCTCAGCAAGGCCCCTCAGCCTGTTGCGGAGGACGAGGTGGAGGAAGGAGCCCCCCCTCGTGAAGAAAAAGAAGAGGGTTGGCCCAGCAAAGGCATCGGCTTCGGCTCTTTCGGAGGAGGTTTCTCCCCCGAGTCGTCTTGGGGTGACTGTAGCTGCCCCTTTGACCATTCCTCAAGCCATTGTGCCGATAACCGCCTACTTCTCTAAGGGCCCGGCCAAGAAGAAACAAAAGAGGCCTGTAGCCATTCCGGGCTGGGGGCAAGGCCACCGATTTTCTGGGGAGCAGAGATGAGGATCTTTCCAAGGCAGTGTTGGAAATGCTGCCCCTTGAAACGGCCTCTACAACACGGATTCATGGGAAGTACTGGACCGAGGACTGGCAAAATCATGCCTCCTCATGTGACATTGAGGATCTGCTGGCCGCAAACAACGCTTGCACGGCTAGGGCGTTAAGTATGGGCGCCGCTTCAGAGGACCTGGCCCGGGGTCTCCAGAAGGGGAACGAAGAACTGGAGGAGAAGTTGAAGGCCTTGGAAACTTGGGAGGCCGAAGTGGCCATGGCGAAGAAAGAAGTGGAGGAAGTTGAAGAGAAATGGATCGACGCTTCCTCCAAGCTGGATGAGTTCGAAATCCGAGCCAACCGGCTGAAGAACGAGCTCCATGAGTCAATTTCGCAGGTGGCAGCTCTGACGAAGAGGGTTGATGATGTGAACGAGCATCAGCGGATGGCTTCAAAGGCTCTGGTTGAGGCCAACAAGCAGAAAGCTGAGAAAAGAAGAGTTTGGCGGCCATACTGGGGGCAAGCCAGCGGCCGAAGAAGAGGCGATGGAGGAAGGGGAGGCCCCCCAGGAGGAGGTGGGAGCTGGGGCCATTATCAATGTAGATTAGGCTTCTTTTTATGTTTTGTAATTATCAAATTATTTAGTTGATTATGACCATTAAATTGGTTAATATGTGATTAATAAACAATAGTGAGCAATGAAAAAGATAAATTGGGACTAAGAAACAATGTATGACCTAAAAAGTTGTTAATTTGTGATCGATAATTTGAAAATTTGTAATTGTCTGATAAGTTGTGACTTTTAATATTTGTGATTTGTGACCGAAAAATAAATTGTAACCTATAAATTTTTTATATGTGACCGATGAACAAATTGTGATCTATAAACTTTTTGAATTGTGATCGTAAAATAATTTGTGGCATAAAATTTCTGATTGAAAATTTGTGAGTGTTTGATAAGTTGTGACTTATATTATTTGTGATTTGTGACCGATAAATAAATTATGACGTATAAATTTTTGACTTGTAATCGATGAATAAATTGTGACCTATAAAATATTTGAATTGTGAAAGTAAAATAATTTGTGACATATAAAATTTTTGATTTGTGACCGAAAAATATTATGTGACTAATTCAATTGTATAAATTTGTGACAAAATTGTATAAATTTGTAGCCTTTAGATTTAATTAATTAAATATATAATTGATTAATTAAATCATAAATAAATTTTGATTAGTATCTGATTTTTGAAATTTGAAATATTTGTTCTTAGTTTTGAAATAGGTGACACATGACCTCTTAATTGTGAAATTTTCCCTATATTATATAGTACATGTTTGGTCTGGATTAAAAATTTAATAGAATTTAGGTGAAAGGCAACAATAATTTATAACAACAGTTTATGAGACTTACAACTATTTAACCATACATTTCATCAACTTTGTATTAAAATCAACTAAAAATATTTTTAACTAATGTAATAACCGTTAAGTTAATGACACCCTCACTAACTCAGTGATTAATTCTTGCATTAAAATGTAATGTAAATAACTGATATTCAAGTTGAGGTTAAAGGGTTTCTTTTTAAAGATACAGTTAACTGCATTAACCACTCAAACGTGGTATAAGTTGCAATTATGAATTTATAGCAATATATAATCCCTTTTCGTGTCCTAAATTCTCATCAGTCAATACTTGCAAATTGAGATGACTT